ACCCATCTACCCATCTAGTCATCTATCGAGTCATTCAGTCGTCCAGCCAGCCAGCCACCTACCCATCCATCCACTCATCTTGCCTAGAACATTGCCAGCTCTTTCATTCATTTACTCATCATCCGTCCAATCCATTTGTCTGTCTCACCTGAAACAGCTCACATCCATTCATCCACCCATCCAGTCAGCCATCTTGCTTAAAACACCACCAACCCTTTCATTCACTTACTTATCTATCCCATGCACTGATCTATCTCTTCTGAAACACTACACATCCATCTATCTACCCACCCATTTGCCCACCCATTTGCCCATCCATTTACCCATCCCACTGAAGACACCACCCACCCATCCATTTACTCATCCATCCATCTCACCTAAAGCACCACCTGCTCATCTGCCCCACCCCTGTCATGCCAGTCTCCAGCCACCTACCCATGTCTCACATCCACACCCCTTACACAACCACCTACCCCATTAGTCCATCATGCACCCTACCCATAATTTCCACCCACCCACCAATCTGTATACTCAACCTATGGGTGCATACGCTGACTTACCCCACTGATCTTTCCAATTCACATGAACTAACTGTTCAAAATACCCATCTGGCAGGGCGCAGCGGCTCCAGCCTGTAATCCCAGCACTTTGGGAGGCCGAGGTGAGAGGACTGCCTGAGCCCACGGGTTCGAGAACACCTGGGCAACTTGGCGGGACCTCATCTCTACAATAAATCAAAAAATGAGCTGGGCGTGGTAGCACGTGCCTGTAGTTCCAGCTACTTGGAAGGTAGAAGGATCACCTGAGCCCAGCAGGTCAACACGGGGTGGCCATGAGCAGCATGCCACTGCACACCAGCCTGGGTGATGGAGACTCCAACTCAAAAAGAAAAAAATGCCCACCCTCCCATTCATCCATTCACCACACAACCATGCGACCGACCCACCCAGCTAACCCCAACTCTCTCTATATGATACAGCTCCTCCTCAACACCCACCACCCCATTCGTCCATTCCTACACAACACACCCACCCACTATGACCTCCCGCCAAGTCAGCGTCCACATCCAAACCTTCCACGTGCAACAGCTCACTCCCAATCCATGCACTCACTGGTCCTCCCATTCTCCCCCTCACCCCGTCTGTCCACCACCATCGGGCTACCCCAACCCCAGAGGTAGAGCCCTCCCCACTCACCCATCCCACCTCCAATCCCACCAGCTCCCACTCACCGTGGCCTACTTCACCGCCCCTCCCCCCGCCCCTCCGTTTTCCCCCCCAGTGCCTGATGTGACACTCTCGGTGCCCACCCAGTTCCACCCGCCTCATCCAACCGGCGTCCACACACCACCCATCTCCCCCATTCTAGCTAGGTAACAGCCCCC